TTTTTTTTTTATTAACCTCATCTAATTGTTTCAGGACCTAATCTACATTTTGTGCATATTCTGCTTTGAAGACTAATATAAGTATTCGTTTGTTATGTTATTTTATATAGGTATGAAAATGATCCCATCATTGGTCATCGACTGTACCGAGAGATTAGGAAAGTTGAGGTAAAAAGAGGAAAAGGGAAGACAGTCCCCCAAATTCCCCATTCATCTTATCAATGGGAGGCAGTTGCAACTAATTTAGACGAATTCCTCAATGTTTCTGTGAGACTTTTTTATTGTCAGCACTTCATATTGGTTTTATCTTTTCTTTTTATTATTAAATAAATGCTAGATGCTTCTCTTGTTCTTTTTACTTCTCAATGTAAGTCCATCTTTTGTTGTGATATAATAGAACCTTTTATAAGCTTAAGTGGCCTGTTCATTACAAGTTGATTTCTTGATACTTCGATTTTTTTTGTTTTTTACCTGTGCCTTGCATCATTCTGAATCAGACACCCTTCTTTTGCAGGAGAAGCTGTTTTCGAGTAAAAATAGAACGGAGGTTGCTGTTGGAAAGAAACTGAAAAATGACATGCTACCTGAAATCGAGAAGGACCACAAGGTGGCCAATTGTTTCTGTATCTTGAATTTGCATTTCGAGTCTCTTTAAAGTTCGCGGTCTGTGATTTTTATTAAGATGTAATTTTGTACAGAGAAAGGAGAAATTGTTAAGAAAACAGCATAGACAAGCACTCATGCTCGATAATATGATGAATATGGATGGTCTTGCTGCCGGACGCTCGCTTCGTGATAGAAAACCCGTCACTTATACTTTCGGTATGTGTAGTATTGTCTCCTCTATACATATTAATTATATTTATGCTCGTTTTGCTTTCTCACTTTTCTTCTCATGGTTTTGTGTTCTTTCTCATTCTTGCTTTTCGGGAGACGTCAAACACAATGTGACTATTATGTTCACTTATTTGTTATTTCTATGTATTGGGATCTTACTTTGTTCCTTACAATCTCCTTTGCATATTAACTCTGCTGATAAATATTGTGTGCATTCTTTCTGCGACAGATGATTTCGACCGTTCTATTAATGAGGCTATAAAGGTCACCAAGTATGTACTTTACCATCGTGATATTCCACCCGCAATAAATTAGTTTGTATTTGCTCGAATATTCATTCTAGAAGTTACTGTCCCTCTTTTTTCCGGTGTAACTCTTGTATCTATTTGTTTTATTGTATCAGGAAAAAACAACTGTCCCCAGAACTTTATGAAAAAAGGGATCTTCACGTCAAAATCGAGAGCTCTACAAACGGCAGTAGGTGGGCTGGTGGGCCGTCCAATTATTCTCGACAAGACTCCTTCACTGCAGTATCTCCAAATTCACTCGACGAGGATGATTATTATGACGATCAGAAAACTGAGGCTGAGACGGAGGCATTGGAGAGAAGGTACACGATTCATCGCCCTTCCTTGATTGTCATTATTAATTATAAATCGTATGTCGAGTTTTAATTTTTTTCCCTCTAAAAACAGAAAGAACCCTTTAAGTTTGATGTATTTACGAAAAAGGTCCGGCAAACTTTTATAATACAAATAAAAAAAAAAAAATCCCCGAGGTTTTCTTTGGTTTGAAAATGAGAGGCTAACTATAATACTGATAAAAAAGGTAAACGATCATTTGAAATACGTTTCTGAAAGGAATTCATGTAAGACAATCAAATTATCATCGGTTAGTGTTTTTTTTTTTTTTTTCTGGGTAATTTCAGAATTCAGATTACAGGTTACAAGTAATAACATCAAACCTCAACCAATTAACTCGAATAGCTGGATCTTTATATGAATGAGCTAAAATCTCCCACACGTTTTGGCTAAAAATCGCACAAAATCTTAACATAACCCGAGTCTTTATTGATCCCCCAGCAACCGAAGGCGGCAGAAGCCCCAACGATACTCAGTCGACGACTTTGTCTCAGACAACGAGCCGCACGATTTCGATAGTGACGACGACATAGTTGGCGAGGTCGTGTACAATGACGAGTACCTCAAAAACCGTAAAAGGAGACGAAAAGCGACGAGCACCTCAGACAGTGAGGATGAATACGGCTTTGAGGAAGAAAATCACGAGGATGAGTACAAAGCAGAAGAAGATGAAGAAGATGAAGATGAAGACGAAGAAGAAG